TTTATAGGGTTGCTATGAGTTGCAGGCAACTTGACGGCACATAACAAAAACTCCTGTGGAGTAGCTGGGGGGCTCAAACTACATGCCTGGCAGTACAAATCTTTACCACTAGACAATAGAGCTCCCTTGTAAAACATATGTTGTTTTTGTGTACCGTCAAGTTGGAACCGACTCGCACTGGAGGAGATTGTCCATCCTTCTCCTATGGAGCAGCTGGTGGATTTACACTGTTGTTAATGTTTGTGAAGTGGGTACCTCCTTGCTAATAGTGACTAGTTCTCATGAGGAGATTTAAAAAACCACTCAGGAACTTAGAAGAATCAATGTTTCCCACCAGTTCATTCAGCTTTAAGCCTCTGCTGAGAATTTGCTTTTGAACTCAGATATATTTAATCAGAATCTACATTTTAACAAGAATCACCAGGTGATTCTCATGTATAAATAAATGTTGATCATTACAGTGTAAATTCTGATTCAGAATATCTTGAGTGGAAAGGTCCGTTTTCAGCCAATGAATTTCCAGCTGAATGAACCTGCTGGAATTCTTAGGGAAGGAGGACCTAGAGATTAATGTGAAGGCACTGATTCCTGAACATCATTGGAAGTTCAACCCAGCAACTCCTGGTCTCACATTCTTGTAGGAGTCAAAGTCACAGGAATCACAATTGTGCAAAGAGCTATTCTTTAGTCAGCATCCGCAACACACTTCTCCACAATAGAGAAAGAACTCAGTTTTAGACAGAGGAGGTTTTACATTTAGAGTTTTGTTGGCTGTGGCTGGTTGACTAAGAAATGAAACATCTCGGCGGCAGACCAAGAAGAGGTTCATGGATTCCATTCCAAAGCTGAATGAAAAGATACAGGGAATTGTCACCCTGTGCCCATGGGACCAACAATGACAGGATCAACTCCTAAACCTGGGTTTAGTCACCTGGACTAGGGTTGACAGACTACGTTAGTATTGTCTAAAATTACTTTCAAGTGATCGCATATAATGGAATAAGCCAGTGTTTTAATGGAACTATTGTGGCTCCACTCGTTAATAAGGAGATCCAATGCTTTCTAAAGCCAAGTGGTGGTAGTGTGCATGGTGAAGTAAGAACTAACTCATAGCTGACTGTCCAGTGGGTTTTAAGAGGCAGTAAATTGCCCTGGAGGAGACTGTCCATCTTTTTCCGAGGGAGAAGCTGGTGGATCAAACTGTACATGCCTTTTTGGTGACAGCGCTGCTCCCACCACCTAGCATGTGAGTCAGGCACGTGAGCCGCATTTCCAATACACAGCTCCCACTCATTATAGGGAAGCTTAGCACCCAAGAAAGGAAGGAAGGAAGGAAGGAAGGAAGGAAGGAAGGAAGGAAGGAAGGAAGGAAGGAAGGAATTTACTTATTTATTTATTCATTCATTCATTCATTTCGAACTAGTGGAACAAGCAGTCACTATGTTATGCGGGCTCCTAAGCACCCGAATGCACCCCCGCTTGCATGATCACAGTTATAATTCTCATGCGTGGTTCTGCACAACCAGAATTCTAGGTGGAGGTGAAGACTTTTTGTCCATGAACAAGGAAGCTGCCAGCTACTCTTTAGTGCACCGGTGTCAAAAGTAGTGGTATGTGTGTTCTTCAGAAGTTAAGAAAACAGAGAAGTTGGTTAGAATTTAGGATGCACATCCTTTCTGAGCTAGGCATTTGAGTTTGTTGATTGCAAGCATCCATAAATTGCATGGGAGGAGATCAACCATTTTTGTCCCTCAGAGACGCTGGTGCATTTGAACTGCTGGTGGCCTTTGTGTTAGCAGTGAAACTCTCTATGGACTATAATACCAGTTACTGGAAGGAAAAGTGATATTCATTAAAACCCAAATAATACCCTTTGGAGAAGGCATTGATTCGGACCCAAAAGGGCAGAGCAGACCTGACCTAAAGAGTTGACAAGGCTGTGCTTATTTATGGAAGTTGACTGCCTGCCCTAGCTTCCTTTTCCTCGCCTCTGCTGGGTTCCAGTCGGCTGGTAAAACTAACCCTGACCCTTAAATTTTTTTCATCTATCAGCCATTTTAAATTTGTCTCTAGGCTTCGAATTTCATTCTGTCTTTGGATATTCCTGGGGCCTCTGGGAAGTTAACACACCAGCATCTCAGTGCTTCTAATCCTTCTTTGCCAGGCACCTGCAAACTAGGGAATACATTTACTACTGCTTTGCTAAAGCAACAGACTTCATGGATTGGTCTATACATTAGGTCGCCAGCATTCCCCAAAATTGTACTGCCTGTTGTTGCTATGTGCTGTCGAGTTGCTTGCAACTCATATCGACTCTATGTACAATAGCCCTGAAACCTGCTCTATCCTGTGCCAACTTTGTCTCTGACACACCTACCCTCATTACCCTAGTCACTGAATCAATCCATCTCATTGATGGTCTTCCTCTCTTTCTCTGTCCCTCCGTTCTTCCAAACATGATGTCCCTCTCCAAGGACTGGTCCTTCCTTGCAACATACCCAAATTATGTCAGATGAAACCTCAGACTCCGTGCCTCCAAGGAGCAGTCTGGTTTCAACCTTCCTAGGACAAACCTGTTTGCTTTCCTGGCAGTCCATGGTATATTCAACACTTCTCCAGCACCACAGCTCAAAGGCATCAATTCTCTTTCTGTTATCCCTAGTCACTGTCCAGCTCTCTAAATGCATAGCAAGCAATTGCGAAGACTATGGTCCAGTTCAGGCGTACCTCAGTCTCTAGACTGACATCATTGCTCTTCAGTACTCTAGAGAAGTCCTTGACAGGTGACTTTCCCAATTCAATTTGTTTCTTGATTTCCTGGCTGCTGGCACCTTTTCCTTGGCATAAGGTGTATCAGGATTGTATCCTTTCTCTGTACCTAATCCAATCTCTATGCTGACAAATTACTCAAGAAGCAGGACTCTGTGAAGGGGAATGTGGCATCAGGATTGTGGAAATAATCAGTAACTTGTGTTATGTAGATGGCTGGCTGAAAATGAGTAGAACTTAAAGTGCTTGCTGCAGAAGATCAGACACTGCAGCCTTTAATATGAATTGCATCTTAATGTCAAGAAAACAAGATTCTCACTACTGGACCAATCTTTTCTCCATCTATCATATCTATAGTCATAATAGATGGAGAAAAGATTGACACTATCAATGACTTCCTATTACTTGGATCTACAACCATGAGATCAGGAGATATATTACACTGTTCTCTCTGCAGTCAAGGACCTGCCCATATTATTGCAGAACTGTGATGTTAGTTTGAGGACTAATGTGTGCCTGATTCAGGCCATGGTCTTTTCAGTCACTTGCTATGCATATGAGAGCTGGACAATGAGTAAAGGATGACACAAGAATTGTTATTGTTGCCTTTGGACTGTCAAAAGAACAAACATATCTTGAAGAAGGTGCAGCCAGAGTGTTGCTAGAAGGCAAGGATGGTGAAGCTTTATCTTGCATATTTTGGACATGTTGCTGGGAGAGGCTATTCCTTGGAGAAGAACATGCTTGAGAAGGTGGAAGGACAACAGAGAGGAAGATCCTTATTTAAGTAGACTAACACAGGGACTGCAGCAATAAATGCAAGTGTGTCAGCGATTGTGAAGATGGCACAGGATAGGACTGAGTTCAGATCTTTTGTTCATAAGGTCGGTATGAGTTCTATCTGACTCAAAGGTACCTAATAAGAAGACATTCCTTGGAAAGTTATGCTTGGAAAGGTGGAATGTCAGAGAAAGAGAGGAAGATCCTCAAAAACATGAATCAATACAATGACTACAGCAAGGGCCTCAAGTGTATCTGGGATGATAATAATGGCACACGCAGGACAGGGTTCTAGATTGTTGTTTCATGGGGTCACAATGAGTCGTACTCGGTTTCACGACACACATCGACAACAACAACAATAATATCATCCACACAGGTATTCTCCCCATTTGCAACCTCCCTACAGTAAAAAACCCTCTAATCTAAAATATCAGAGGCTGCAAAACTTCCCTTCCTACCACGCCCCTCTTACCTGAGGCCTCCAAGCCACTGTCTTTTTCATTGATTTCCTCCCAGGCTTTCCATTTTCCCGAGAAACCTCTAAATTTTGAGGGCTTTAAATGATAAGAACCGCTTTTTATCTCCTCAGGGAACTTGCAAGCCTCTGGGCTTTCCCACCTGGGCTCAACCTCCCTCTAGGACACTGCCCCAGTCTCACCAGTTACACCCACTCCCTCCCCGAGCGCCACTTCCGGATCCCCGGTGTCTCCGCTTTACTAGTCCGCCCCGCATGCCCTCCCCAGGACACTTCCTAGAGCTGTGCCCAGTCCACTGGCGGGATCGGGGTGGGGACGAAGACTCGAGAAGCTCAAGAGTGCTTTGGACGCGTGCATGGAAAGGCTTCTTTGATCTAAAAACCTGGACTGGCCGCGGAGCCGGGTGGAGGTGGAGGGACACTTTGCTTTGCGCACCGGCTCGGGCACACCCGGAAGTGCCGCTGTGGCGGAGCTGCGAGGCGGTCGCCAGCCGGCGCCAGGTACTGGGAGGCGGAGGGGAAGCCACCATCCTCATCTTGGCGTGAGTGTCAGCTGAGGGTTGAGGGTGGCGGGAGGCCAGGGCCAGGCCTGGTTGTAGCTCTAGTCCTGTGGCGGCCAGTCCAGCTGGGTTCTGGCAGGCGAGGGCCCCGCGGGCTTTTTAGACTAGCGAAGGGGTACAGCGGTCAGAGAGGAGCTCTCCTCATCTTACTCTCTCACTCCGGGGGACCCCTCTCTTCCTCTCGTGACCAGGGAAATAAAAATATTGCAGACGTCCAGGTTAGAGCAGAAAGTACACTCGAATTTTCTCTCTTCCTGGCAGGAAGCTGGCTGTTGATTGGGTCGGGACCGCAGTTTTTTGACTCAGCCCCTCCTGAAAAAGACTTTCCCGCTCCGTGCTTACCGACCCAGTGACATTTGACGTTTCTGTCTTTACACCTTTCAGCGTCTGAGTTGACGTTTCTCTGCACCTCCAAAGATGTTGGAGTCATATGTAACTCCAATTTTAATGAGCTATGTGAACCGCTACATCAAGAACTTAAAGCCGTCGGATCTCCAACTTTCGCTATGGGGTGGAGACGTGGTTCTCAGCAAGCTTGAATTAAAACTGGATGTGCTCGAACAGGTAAAGTGTGTGTCCATCGTTGGAGACGCTTTCATTTTGTTTAGAAGTAATCAGTTGTTTCTTTTATATGCTTGGAAAAAAAATGAAAATTTTAAAACTTGTGATTTGAGTGAAAGTTTACAGAGCTACTTGATTTTTTCGTTCAATCATTCATACACATTTTGTTTTATAACATTAATTATATCCCCTGCCTTTTAACCACATTTCATATTCTTCCTTGTGAGTCTGGTTTCCTCTTGCCCATCTTCTCATGCTTTGTGAGCTGTATGGATCCCTGAGCAAAGGCACCTCTTTTGAACTTATATGGCCCATTTGTCTAAGAAGTGAGTGGCTGCCTGGCGTTGTTTACCTTCTCAGGCCTTTCTTTTGTTTGACTGAAAATTGAGGCACAGGAGTGAGTTAAAAATTAAGTTTTTTTTGTTTTTTGTTTGTTTTTTTTTATACTCAAAATGGCTTCTCTGTGTCCCTTAGTATGGGCAGGCTCTCCTTCCAAAAGAAGTAGCTGTTAATCTGACTTCTTTGAACACAGATAAGAAACTCCATGGTGCAGTCTTAAAGGGCTCAAGTTCTAATTGAAAGATGAGCAGTTTGATCTTTTTAGAGATTTTTTAATGAGAAGAGCTCTGTGTCTGTAAAGGTTATTATAGCCCAGGAGATCCTATCCTAAAGGCCTGCTCTGAGTTGTAATCAACATAGGTAAATTTCACCTGTAATTGACATCATGCTCATTGTTTACACCCACTGTTACTTCTTTGATCAACCAACTAAGTTGCATAAAAACAGTATGTTGTTCTTTCTATTGCTCTGTAATATTCCATTGGAGCACTGGTGGCCTCCTGGCAAGAAGCTGTGCTGCAGTCCTGAAGGCACAGGGTCCGACGATGGGCAGTTCTCTTCTGTGTAACTGCCTCTGAAAACCTGCTGGAATATCAGCTATGGGTGGGTTCTAACTGGAAAGTAGAAGACAAACAAACAACAATGCCTCCAGGGCACCTAGTCATACTTAATACTGTTGTTATGTGCTGTCCAGTTAAAACCAATCCATATCTGACCCTCCAGTAGTTTTTGAGAGTCTAGATTTGCAGAGGTCGAGATTGCTTATATTTCCCATGGAACAGCTGTTTACCTTTGAGTTGGCAGTGCAGTCCTTACATACTAGGTCACTAGAGTTCCCTTCTCACTTTAATGCTGTTGTGTACCATAGAGTAGGAACTGACCCATCACTGACCCTCTGGGGGGTTTTCAGATGCAGTTAATCTCAGAGGAGGAGATGGCTCATCCTCCTTCTGTGGAGCTGCTGGTGGATTCAAACCGCGTACCTACAGGATTGTAATGCAATTTCTTGCCGCCAGGCCCACAAAATAGTTTTTAAAAAAGATTGTTACTATTTACGGTTCTAATTGGTAGTTTCAAGAGTGCTTCACAAAAGCTTCACATTTTTGTACTTCGTGTACTTCACACTTGGTTTTATGCTGTTTTAATTTTAGCCATTCTGGTGTGTGATGTTACCCGGTGATTTTAACTTGCACTTAGTTTTTTAGTATGGCTGTTGAGCACTATTTTTTCATATGCTCACTGACCATTTGGATATCTTCTTTGAAGTATCGTTCACACATTCTCAATTTTCTTTTAGAGCTGTGCATGTCAAAACATTTTTTTAAAAAATTTTATAACAACAACACTTTTAGTGAACATTTACAGGTATTTTGGATTTCTATTCATTCATTGTTGCATTTATCTCGCTGCCTACCCCTCCCCCCAGTTTGCTTTTCTCTGAAAAGTAAAAGAAAAATTCCTTCATTGGTATACAATCTCCCTCCCCACCCACCCCCTGCTCCGAGTACACTCCACTATGCAACCTTCATTCTGGACTCTTGTCATAACCATAATACCCAATCATGTATCGCTTTTAAACTGTTCTCTCTCACATCTGCTTCAATGCAGTATACATGATTTATCCAATTTTTCTCAGTCTCACCCCAACCCTCATGTCAGTCCCATTCTACAACACTGGCACTAGGCAGTATTTGTCCTTTTGTGACGGAAATATTTCACTCAGCATAATGTCCTCCACGGTCACCCATTTTGAAAAAATATTGCATGAGTTCCTTGTTTTTCAATGCAGCATAATATTCCATTGTGTGATTATACTACAGCTTCTCCATTCGTTTGTTGATGGGCACTTGGTTGTTTCCAACACTTTGCTATTGTGAACAAAGCTGCAATAAACATGGGTGTGCATATATCTGCCTGGGTGGCAGTTATGATCTCTTTCGGGTATATTCCCAGTAGAGGAATTGCTGGGTCAAATGGTATTTCTATTTGCAACTTTTTGAGAAAGCACCATACAGCCTTACATAGTGGTTGTACCATTTTACACTTCCACCAACAGTGAATAAGGGTTCCAGTTTCTCCACAACCTTGCCAGCATTTGATGTTTGCTGTTCTGCTAAATTTTACTATTCTTATTAGGGTGAGATGATATCTCATAGTTGTTTTGATTTGCATTTCTCTAAGAGCTAGGGATTTTGAGCATTTCTTCATGTATTTGTTAGCCATCTGAATATTGTCTTTGGTGAAGTGTCTGTTCATATCCTGTCCCCATTTTTTCAATTGGATTATTTACATTTATCTTGTTCTGGTGCTCGAGCATTTTATAAATTCTAGATATAAGTCACTTATCTGATATGTCATTACCAAATATTTTTTCCCAATCTGTGTGGCCTTCCTTTTTACTCTGTTCGGGAAGTTTTTAGATGTGCATAGGGATTTGAGTCTTAAAAGGTCCCATTCATCTATTTTTATCCTCTCCTGGTTGTAGATTTTTCAGGATGCTTAGAAGACTGTTTTATGTTGTGGATTAGGACTTCTAGATTTCTTCCAAGCTTTTCTTTAATGAAGTGTATAGTTATTGGTTTTAGTCCTAGGTCCATGATCCATTTTGAGTTGATTTTTCTGAATGGAGTGAGGTGTGGATCTTGCTTGAGTTTTCTACAGGTAGTTTTCCAGTTTTGCCAGCACCATTTGTTAAAAAGGTTGTCATTTCCCCACTTGACTGATTTCATCTCTTTGTCAAAATTCAATTAATCATAAGTAGATGGGCTGATTTCTGGATTCTCTATTCTTTTCCACTGATCTGTGTGTCTATCATTATACCAGTACTACACTGTCTTGAACACTATGGCACTGTAGTAGGATTTGCAATCAGGGAGTGGGATGCCTCCTACCTTATTTCTCTTTTTAAGGAGTGCTTTGCTTATTCGGGGCTTCTTTCCATTCCAAATGAAATTGGAAATTGCCTTTTCCATCTCATTGAAGAATGGAATTGATATTTTTATTGGGATTGCATTGAATGTGTAAATTGCCTGGTAGTATTGTCATTTTCACAATATTGAGTCTTTCTATCCATGAGCAAGGGGTATTCTTCCACTTCTCCAGGTCTCTTTTTGTTTCTTGTAATAATGTTTTGTAATTTTCTTTGAATAGAACCTTTGTGCTTCTGGTTAGATTTACTCCCAGGTATTTTATCTCTCCAAAGTACTGAAGAGCAATGGTGTCTCTCTGGAGACTAAGGTGCGTTTGATACAGGCCATGGTCTTCGCAATCACTTGTTATGCATCAGAGAGTTGGACAATGACCAAGGAGGATTGAAGGAGAATTGATGCCTTTGAGCTGTGGTGCTGGAGAAGAGTATTGAGAATACCATGGACTGCTAGGAAAAGAAACAGATTCGTCCTGGAAAGGGTTAAACTGGGTGGCTCCTTGGAGGCAAGGATTCTGAGGCTCCGTCTAACATACTTTGGACATGTTGTGGGGGGAGACCGGTCCTTGGAGAGGGACATCATGCTTGGGAGGGTGGAGGGATGGTGCAGGAGGGGAAGGCCCTCTCTGAGGTGGATTGATTCAGTGACTGGGATAATCGGGATGGGAGTGTCAGAGACAGTGCGATTGGCCTAGGACAGAGCAGAGTTTAGGGCTGTTGTACATAGGGTCGCTGTGAGTCACAAGCGACTCGACGGCACATAACAACAACAACAACATTTTATCTTGTGATTGGCAGTTGTGAAGGGTATTGTTTTTCTAAGCTCTAGTTCTGTTTCTCTTTGTAACTGTAGAGAAATCCAATTGATTTTTGTATGTTGATCTTGTATCCTGCACTTTGCTGAATTCGTCAACTATGTCCAATAGTTTCTTTGCTGAGTTGTTAGGGTTTTCTAAGTATACTGTCATATCGTCTGCATACAGAGATAATTTTACCTCCTTTTTGCCAATTTGGATACCTCTTCTTTCCTTATTTTGTCTTATTGCTAGTGCTAAGATTTCTAATACAATATTGAGTAGGAGAGGTGTTAGTGGGCATCCTTGCCTAGTTCCTGTTCTCAAAGGGAATGCCTTTAATCTCCCTCCATTGAGAACAATACTGGCTCTTGGATTTGAGTGTATACTTTTTACTATATTGAGGAAATTCCCCTCTAATCCTATTTTGTTGTGTGGTCAAAACATTTTTTTAAAATTACCATCAGTCTTTTCTGTGCTTCCCCCCACCCCCTTATTGTGTATGGTCAAATTGGATCCAACTGGCACCAGGAGGAGATTGCCCCTCCTTCTCCAGTGGAGCATCTCATGAATTTGAACTGCCCACCTTCAGGGTTGCAGTTCAGCTCTTGCCACTAGGACACCAGAGCTCCCTTTTTATGTGCTTTTTAAAGAGTGAAAAAGGATTAAAGCGAGACCATACCTATGAGAAACAATGTGCCCATTAAGTTTTCTGTTCTCTTCGTATTGATACGTAGGGTTTCTTCATATATTTGGAAAGAAGTATAATCTTTTGCCATATGTATGGTTTGTATTATCTTTTTCCATTCTTTAGTTTCTTTTCTTTTTTTAAATCATGATTTGAATGAATGTTAACAGAGCAAATTGGTTTTCCATTCCATTTATATATGAAGCAGGAGTAGCATCCACTTCCTAAACAACATGCCTCCAGAAACTCTATGAAC